TGCCCCTCTGCCATACGTAAATGCCATAATTAATGTTCTGAACTACATTAGAGCAGTCAAGAACTACGGCTGTTGCATCGGTAACATAAGATTATTGCTGTTGTTACATTTTGCATTTAGAAAATGATGAAGAACTTCTTGGAACACCATATGATGTGACAGCAGGAAATAGTCATTTGCTGCACATGTTACATACCACCTGTATCCTGTGACGTGATGTTAATCATGATGACCGTGGTCATGATGACAGAAGGTATGGTTGGTGCCTTCCTATCACTGTTATACTAACATCAGTAATATGGACACTGCTATGACTCGCTGATATATGCTTTTTAGTTTAGTTACTACTGAACTGTAGTCATCAACCCTTGACGTCAGACACCTTCATTTGGTGTTGAATGAGATTAACTTGTCTGGCAAATTAGTTTGCGAGTCTCATTGGATTTTAAATCCCATTAATTTGACTAATATAGCCAACAAGTGACAAGAAACGTTATCACTTTCTTCCTGCACTTCACACATTACACTAACCTGTGAATTGTGGCCAGATGAAAAGCTACATTGAGGTTCTGCTTTTTTTTTCTTTTTCTTTTTTTTTAGGTAACAGCCCCAACACTGGTGATGTTATTATGTCTTAGACTTCACTTGAGAGCCCTGCAAACTAGCAGATGCAAGAAATAGTGGCAGCAAAGGTGTGATAAATTTAATCTCTAATCAGTGTCTGTGTAGTCCTTACGAGTTGCTGCCATTTTTTTTCTTTTGTGGATAATAAGAAGATATAAATACAGTGGATGATGGTTTTTATGTCACAATTGTGGCTACATGACTAACTTTGAAGTCTATTCACATAAAGTCTTTGAAAATCATTACACAGCGCTGTGACGTTGGTGAACGGGCATCTTTCACCATTTGGATTTTTAAATTAAAACACACTCATTGCCACAGAGACTAAGAGTAAATTATGAAAATAAAGCGATTAAACTAAGGTCATGAGGCTATAGACACCACATCAGAACCAAGTAATAACATTTTGCTGTAACACTTTCCATCTTTTGAAATTAGAGCCTAAAACTTGTTGTGTGAAATGTCTCTGTTGGGTGAAAATATTAGAGGAGACTTCACTGTCATTAATTAGCTTGATGATTGCAGACATATTAATTAGTCTACTGTAACTCTCACAGGAGCAGGAGTGAAGATTAAAGACCCGTCACTGTACATCTTATCGTATTGTTGTTGATGTTCAGCTGAGAGAACAGTCCTCCAGATATTATGGATATTATAAAGGTGTAACTAGAAGAGGTGGGTGGATTGATCCAAATATCGATAATATATAGTAGTATATCAATGCTGGTAATGATATCAGATTGATACTAGCGCAATAGGAGCGATACCTTGTTTCTGTCATCTCAGTTAAGTATATTGCCTACTGAATTGTGTTATATATCTATCCATCTATATATATATATATATCTATATACAGTATAGATATATATACACACATATATATATTATATAGATATATATATACATATATCATATATATATAATATATATACACTATATATATATAAATATATACTATACACACATATATATACATATATATATATAACATTATATATATAATACTATATATATATACTATACATATATACATAAATGGAAATTATATGATCTCATAAATGATACTGCTCTTCCCCTACATAAGGTACCTTTAAAAGTACCTTATGTAGGTACTTTTAAAGGTACCTAAATAAGGTACCTTTAAAGTATTACCAAGATCAATACTGTTACCAAGTATTGATCTTGGTAACAGATCAATACTATATCAGTTTGGAGTATTGCAAAGCACAAGTAATCAGCAATATGATCCTGGGTCCTTTTTAAAAATGATGGTAAAATGTAAGAGAATGTAAGTACAATCAATGCAATGTATAATAAGTGCTAAATAATTACTACAGCTACTAGAGGGTTTTCTCAATGGAAATTCGTTATGGGCCACTGGGTTATGTCGCTCTTTCATATGACACACCTGGAACATCTGCTGGAGACTGCTAAGCTAAATTACAACATAGGTACTGGAATAAGCTGCTTGCATAGCAAACCTATATAGAGCTGAAGTCATGACATAACAAGCAAATTGAATTCTGTGCCTCTAGTTTTTAGTGAATCAAGCTTTTACAAATTGCTTTCGACACTCCTCTCAGATGTAATTTTGTCATTTACTTCACAAAACGGAATATTTTTACATAATCTAAGACAAACCGGCAGCCATAAAGCACTTAATAAGAATACATTGTGCTTAAAAAATATAATCAGCCCACACAAGAAACACCTACAAGTGTTACAGTGCAGATACTTAAATGATCATGATCTGGCTATCATCCATATCCTTAATTCACCAGTGATCTCTTCTGACAGCTTGTGTCTGGCCAGCTGTTATCACAGTCATGCATGAACTATGGCCCAGAGCCACTCTTCAGGGCTCACTAGTTACCTAAATAGTGACCAAATAATATTTAATGTTTCTCTTAAAACAACTTCACAGTTATGTAAATGAATGAAACCACATTTACGTCACGCTGTTCGAACACTTCTGTCCCTCAGTTATTTTGACTATCAGGGATTTTCCAACATGTTTTCGCACTATTGGAATAGAAGTTTCAGTTTCCCTTCAGCCTGCTTTGACGTCATGTTTTTTTCAATCTCAAAAAGGTGGCGTCAGCAACCTGTTAGTTTCAGTGTGACATTATTCTTTAGATTTGAAGTCAAGAACTTTTTTTGCTTTAACCGTCCACTTTACGTAAGTCTGCTGTATCGTAATAAATATTACTTCAGTAATATGTGTGTCTGTTTTTAACTATCAGATTTTGATTTTCTGGTTTGTAACCTGTATTTCGGTGTCACTGTTCTAATCAGCCTCTAGATAAACATGCTTTTTTTTTTTAACTCTTTAGAAACTCACCTGCCCAGCACCGAATACCAGTCAGACGATGCTGAATATTTGTGGGGCAGCATTCCACTGCTGATAAGCCAGCTACTTCCCTCAAGTGTTGGTGTATTTAAAAAAACAGCGTTAAAAGAAATATGAACTCTGGACATCAAAATATTACTCTGTACTACTGTTTATATTCTCCCTTGAGCTGTATTGGCGAAATGAACACAACTTAAAAGATTAGAACATTTCCATGTTCCATGTTTTTCAGATTTCCCCCCAGCAACTCTTGTTCTTTGTTCACAGAGCCAGACAAAGGCCAAAGATCACCATTATTCAGCTCTTTGATAGCTTCTTGCTAACAATTCACCTTGGGGTTTTGCATACCATTTAGTGTTAATGTGGCCATGTCTATCTAATTATCAGCAGTGTGTGAAAATAAACTCCAACAGGACGGTCTGCTTCTTACATTCACAGTGACCACTCTCACAGATGTGACAATCCACATCACAAGGCTTTAAGTCACATTACCCTTCACTCCCCCGAGGCTTGAGTGCTATTTGTCTTCATATAGGCTTTGGCTTGTTGTTTCTTAATGGGATTTGGGTAGGGGCTGCCTGCAGGGCCTTTGGGAAGCCCACACGATGGTGAAATCCACACAATTCCCATACCGTCGCCTCAAACTAAACCTATGGGAAAATCCTCAGACTTTCTAAGGAAAAGTCTGTTTCCATCTGTGTGTAAATGTTTTAAAATATAGTGTATTCTTTTGGCTTAAGACTGACTCATGGGTTTAGTTCATTATTGCATTATAATCAAACTTCACGAGTGTGTGGTGTATCACTGATGGGGAGTTGTGGAAAGATTAAACTTCTATTGATCCAGAAGAATTTTCCAAGGCATCCTTGGAGGTGATTATGTCACAGCTATGGTTTAATCGTCACTGCTTCCAGGCGCTGATTGAAATCAGCGGTTACTTTACAAGCTTACAAGCAGACATAATGATGACTGTGAACGCACTCACATGCACGTACAAAGACATGGGATGACTTAAATAACTACTTTTATTAAAAGCTTATCACATGGTGTTTCACTGGGATTAAATTTTGCAACACAAGCCATTAGTTGTGCATGACAGAAAAACAACTTTCCTTCCTGTTGGGTTTGCATGTGTTTCTGGTAATGTTTTGGCTGACTCACAAAAGTGGCCCAAAGAACCAAGTTGCTGAACAAGGAAATTAAGATTTATCTGATTCGAGGTTTCTATACAAACAAATAAAAAATAAACACATTGGAGACGAAAGCCCTCCAATGTGTCACATATAGGGGGTGGGGGGTTCACGTCTCACATGAGGCATTTCATTGTTTTCTATGCCCTTCCCTCGTTAGGCACAACCAGCACGTCGGCCACATATTTCCTAATCATTATCATAATTAACATCTTATATTGTAATTCAGCTTGACTTGTTAAATCCTAGTTGGAAATATTGAAACTAGTGAAATGTTTGTGATGAGAGGAAGGGGGGGGGGAAACATCATTGCTAATGGATACGCAACAAGCTGTGTGTAGAAATCACAAAAGGCTGGCTTTTCCCGTAAGTTATTTAGAATGAGTCAAGCGGTAGTAAGCCCAAAGATCAGTGATGTCGAAACTAAGGTGTGGCAAGTCTGTATGAATACTGAGGCTATCAACCACGCTGACTATGCGATAACAGCCGTACTGCACCTTTAACTAAACACTGGCCAGAGTATTTACTGAGTGACGTAAGACGCAGACTGCGTGACGAGTGTGGGCAGGCAGGGCAGGCTCTTTGTCAGGTATCCAGAAGTTAGTATGCTCACACCGGAAATCAAAGCATTATGATTGGGAGTCTGTGATAAATTCCTTAAAACGATTAATTAGCAATAAAAACATCTAGAATTAAATTGAATATGATTTAAATAAAAAAGATAATGTATTCGATGAGTGGTAAAAACATAATACGGTGAGATTTACTGCATGGATCGATATAGCCCTTTTATTTTGAAGGTGCAAACAGGAAGCAGTTGTTTTCCGCTACATTCGACTTGATTGTGAAAAAGAAAGCTACGGACGCACGGTGGCTACTTGAACGAAAACGGGGGAAGCTTGCTCAAGAACCGGTAGGGCTGTATTCGGGACCTCAGCATGCCACAATACAAATGGTGAGCGTGGGCGCAAAACAACTGTATTCACCTCCTGAACGGCGATAGTTGACAGCCACGCCCGGTTTTCAGCAACCGGAGCCCGTACAAAAGTGCTGGCGGAGGTGCAACGGTGAGCGGTTTGAAACCCAGCAGGGCGGCTAGCGGGCTCACAGCGGAGAGGAACCAGCAGCAGCGGCGGCGGCTGTTTTAGGCACCATGAGAGAGTACAAAGTAGTGGTTCTCGGGTCCGGGGGCGTCGGTAAATCGGCACTAACCGTCCAGTTCGTGACGGGATCTTTCATAGAAAAATACGACCCCACGATAGAGGATTTTTACAGGAAGGAGATCGAGGTTGACTCCTCTCCGTCCGTCTTGGAGATCCTGGACACGGCTGGGACCGAGCAGTTCGCCTCCATGCGAGACCTGTACATCAAAAACGGCCAGGGTTTTATTCTGGTCTACAGCCTGGTGAACCAGCAGAGCTTCCAGGACATCAAACCGATGAGGGATCAGATCATTCGGGTGAAACGGTACGAAAGAGTGCCGATGATTCTGGTTGGAAACAAAGTGGACCTGGAGGGGGAAAGGGAGGTTTCGTCCGGTGAAGGGAAGGCTCTGGCGGACGAATGGAACTGCCCGTTCATGGAAACTTCAGCCAAAAATAAAAGCTCTGTGGACGAACTGTTTGCAGAAATAGTCCGACAGATGAACTATGCCTCAACACCAAATGGCGACGACCAGTGCTGCTCGTCTTGTGTTATTCTTTAAGGAAAATGGACAATCACAAAGTTTTCTTTGCTCGGTTTTAAGTTTGCAATGGTAAGTTGGAACACCATACACCGAAAGTGTAAACCTGACACGGTTGATTGTTCAATGCAGTGACAAGAACTATAAATAAACAGCGTACTTATTACCAACTTGCCCACATTAAGTACTGTTTAGCGAGCAGCAAAGCACCGGATGTAAGCTAAACGTGTCATTTTAATGCGTAGCCTGAAGTTTGTTTTTTGTCAGTACTTAGCTATAAAAACTCAGCAGTACTTTTTACCGGTAACGTACAGTGGGACACTTGCAGTCCATTGTTTTGCTAAGCAGATAGGGGAAGTCTCTGATTCATTTGCAGAACTGGATGGGGCATGCCAGTGGCACACTTAATTAGGTTTACAAACTTTTGTGGCTCAATCGGTGCAGCTACAGTTCGGAGCTATTAAAAGAACTGCCAAATGCCATATTCCAGAATGGGGTTTACAGGGAGATTCCAGTGTTTTTGTGTGGCCTACATTTCAAGAGTCAGCAAGTTCGAGATAGATTTAGCTTTGGAGGAAATCTGTTTTCCCTAGAAGTTGTTCTAGTTCATTCATGACACTTTCTTTTTCTCCGCCTTTCTTGTTTGTGGCAGTGTGTTGCAGCAAGTCTGTACTGTTGAGCTCTTCTTCGTGTCTCGCCCTGGCCTTGGAGGAAAATGAAGGGAGGAATGCTGCAGGGGGACGAGGAGGAGGGGGAGCAACTGAGACAGGGAGGGGTCCACTCTTCAGGAATTCTGCTGGGTTGGAGTATCTGTACTGCACGATCGGTGTCCGCCATTGATGTCAACACAGTGTCAGATCCAGAGTTTCAGCCTCATCCCCCCCCCCTCCTCACCAGTTCCAACTGTACTTCCAACTGGAACTACATCCCAATGGAAAAGATGGAAAGAAACACTTAAAGAAAACTCATAAATGGATATTTCTGTATGAGAAGAACACAGGGAGATAGAGTATATATTTTGTTAAGTAACTGCACAGTCTGGGACAGATAAAGAGTTGGGCCGCCTGATCAAATTTGGAGCAACGCTCCACAACACTCCAAATCCTGCTTTCTTTTCCAAAGTCAGAAGAAATTGACGCCACGTCTCTGGTGGTGGAGAAAATGTGACGAGTGCCACTTCATGTTTTTTTTTTACTTCACTTTCTCTTTAAGTGTGTGAGAGGACCCTAACTGAAGTGACACAAGGACACTGACCCGATCGCCCTTGTGTCAAGTGCCTTTCCGAAATAAATCAGCTGTTCAGATTTAGTGCCAACCCACAACCAAAACAACCCTTCAACATCACAATCCACAAACTAGTGAACTCTTCTACTGGATAGTGTCGTAAGGATGGAAGCTGACGATGAAAAACTACAGCAGGCTTCTCTTGAATGGAATGGCAGTTTTCTGTTTGTTTTACTTTGGCCTTTTTGAAGTCTAAGGTGTTAATTTTTGCAATGTCTGCTTGGTCTGGATGAACCCATGTCTTGAAATGCACAGGTACTGGAACCCCTTAGACATGATCACAACACCCGACACTTAATTTCCAGGCCAATCAGTTCAAAGGAGTTCTGTTTTGTTCTGTTCCTTTTGTTGTTTTTAACAGGAAATGTGATAATGTACCATTGACAAATCTAACCTGATTGTAAGTTTAATTTCAGACCAGCCATTTAACAGTTGGCTGTTTTGAGAAAAAAAAAAAAAAGACTTTTAATACAAATGGCTTTTTTAAAAAAGAACCCAGGCTGTGTTTTCTTTTTTCTTTTCTTTTTCTTTGGGGACATCTACTCATTTCACCACATGTCACGAGAAGTTCGGTGAAGAATTTAGCTTAAACAGCAGCTGAGGTTTGCTTAAAAGCACACAAATAATTTGGCTACTAGAAAACCCTGCATTAAGCTGTTGCTGAAAAAGTAAATGTTCAGTGTGCTTATTTTACAGTAACATGACCCCCCCCTAAAAACAACCCAAATTTACACGAGCTGCTTCACGGTTCAGCATGTGTGGTGGACCTACTCCTAACAGGAAATAGAACTACAATATGAAAACGCTGCAAAATTGCTGGTGTTTATTGCTCTTTGTGTCACAAACTCGATGGGCAGCTATACAAGCTCAGCTACTTGCAGCGTTTGTGGAAACATGAAAGCTGCTTTTCATTGCTTCAGAAATCAAGCTTTGGCTTTCTACCACTGTTGTTTCTCATCATTAAAAACAAAACTTGTCATGTGGTTAAGACAGAGACCACTGTTACGTAAAATGAAAAAAACTGAAAGATAATAGAACGTACATACATGACTAGTTTGAAAGAGATGAGTAGCTCCTTTGTGTTTACATGAAGCTTGTAAAGTAAGCTTTGGGATTTAGGGGTTTTGTTTTGTTTTTAAACTAGTAAAGTAGCTGCACAATCATCGTAGGTGAATTTGGTTGGATTCACCAACAAAATGGGCTCAGATTCTCTATCCACTCAGCATCTTCACAGACGTTAATAGAAGAGGCCGGGCAATGCTACACCCGGGAATTATCTCTTTTTAACTGTGTGGGTGTAGCAATGTTCCAGTCCGGAGGTTCAGCCTGGCTGCAGTGTGTGTGGGTGCTGTGGTGTGATGTGGAGAGGCGGGTATGAGTGAGCAGGCCACCGTTCTGCCTCTGTTTACCTACGGGGATTACCTAGCCCCGGCTGGCTGGTAGACCACAGCATGACTTGAGGTGGGGGAGAGAGTAAACACACACAAGACGAGCTTCGCATAAAGTCCGGTCTTTGAGAGTGGATGAGCTCTGATTTTTCAGCCTGCACAGTATGTTTGTAGTGTTGCAGCATTTCTTATTTGTGTCTTGTCAATCTGAGCGCACGCTCCTGCTCATCACCGTTGCTCGTGTGTTTATGCCTGGTAGCCACTGTAAGCGCTGGTATCATATGCATTCTTTGGCTTTGCCAATACCACGTGACTGTGGGGCATGGCGAGCCAGGGGTGCAGTGGAGTGCAAATATTACTCCTAACACCTACAATTGAACACTGCTGCACAGCAGATGAGGCAATATGACTGAGATCAATACTGTGGTATTAAAATGTTTTTGGTTTTTTACCTTGCTCTGAAAAATTTATATTGATATGACATTGTAGTTAGTGTATGAGAAAACAGATGAGTAATCAGGTTGCTTAGTCTGCTCTTCTGCTTTCCATTATACTAGGTAAATATGTCACGCAAAAATCTATCCTCAGTTTTGTTACTTTTTAACTTGTATTGAATAAGTAATAGTAAGTTATTGGCTATCTTTTACATATGTGTGTGTGTGTGTGTGTGTGTGTGTGTGTATAAATATTCTTCATATTCCTTTACAAGTTTGCCCGTGTGAGTGAAAGCAGCTTGAGCGTGTACACACACGTACTCTAAATTTTTACCCCTGAAGCTGAAACGACATCTTCACACGTTAATGTTCGGTTTGAGCGTGTGCAGAAGAGCTTTGTTTTTGCACAGCTCTTGATAGCAGTTCTTGACTCTCCCCTCCGATCGACCACAAGCCGTGGCTACTTTCCAGCTGTGTTATCTATGTGAAGTCAAGGATAATAGCATGTTTCCTCTGAGGCCCTGATACAGATTGTGCAATTAGGTAAGAACAGAGCTGAAACTGAACTCTGCCTTGAAATGATATTGTTGAACCGGTAGTGGATGAGATGGCAGGAGTTTGTACAGCAGTGCCCCAGTTACTGTAAATGTACACCACTCTCCTCTGTTGCTGCTATTGCTGCACAGTTTCAATCTCTTGCTGTGGTATAAACATCTGATAGCAGAAGAATTTGCCCTTTGTAGAGAAAAGGGCCCGTCGAGTTCCAGCTTCTTTTTATCTGTCTTTTTCTAGGGAGCAAGAAGGTGAAAGTTTCACTTCCTTCATTTTGTGCAAAACTCAGCACTGGTGCTATCTCCGCGTTCAGGGTTGAATTGGCTTCAGCCGTTCAGATATCCAGTTTCACTTTGTTGCTGTTGTCGTCACGTTCTGAATACCTGAGTTGTCGCGTTGTCTTCACATCTTGCCTATTTTTAAAGGTTTCAGTTGCAGTCGGCAGGAAATCAGTGGCGCAGGTTTACAGACGGTCCAGTTTGTCAGCGGTTCCCGGTCATGAGTGATAGTCATGTGATGTGGTTGCCATGGTCAAGGAGGGGGTTGGGATGTGGTATGGCTGTTCAGGGTGGCCTCGTGACCTGTGAGAGTTTGGTCACTGCTGGAATGATGACTGTCGGCTGAGGAAGGGTGGGTGCCGGTTTGTTTGAGCACTTTTCTCTCATTTGCCACAAACATATACTTTCTTAGGTCATGAAAAGAAGCATGACTGAACTTTAAAGAGAATTTCTGGAGCGTAAAGATAATTGTAAGGTTTGAATATGCAGCTCTGGTTGCATTAAAGCAAAAATATCGATTTCTTAATGATTAAGATAAGTGTGCTGCCTGTTGCACTGATGTAAGACTTCTCTTTTTTTCTTCTGCTGTTGGAAGCAATTGCTCTGACAGGAAATGTTGCAACTGAGCCAGTGAGAGTGGGTGGGTGTGTTTGATTTTTTTTTTTTTTTTTTTTTTTTTTTTTAAACATGGACTTAATCACTATATAGGCTCCTTGTTGAATTACAGGCTTCTCATTCTGTCCCAGCATCATCATGCTATTTTTGAGGCCCTGTTGTGTTCAGGAGAGCGGTTTTGCCTTTTTTTTCTTGGCAGATGTGCCTCTTGTGTACTATATTTGTCTAAAGCAATATGCTCTGAAAACCATTTGACTTTTATTAGGCTTGCTCACTTGACCCTCATACAAACACACCGAAACACAAACAAAAAGGTCTAATTCACTTTAAATGCACGCAGCCATTTTTAATTTATTCTGTGTGACAGTGTTAATTTCCTTTTGTCAGACATTACCATAACAACGCGCAGGAATTGTCCATGTTGTCTTACCGTTAAAGGTTGTTTTTTTTTCTTTTCTCTTACTGACTCTCTAACACTACAACAACACCACACAATACACACACACACACACACACACACACACACACACACACACACACACACACACACACACCATATATACTATATGTATATCCTTGATGTACTAACTTCCTTAGCAGGAACAGTAGACTGGTTTAGACCTAATAGTTTCCTGATCAACCATGTATTAAAGCATTGCAGTTGTTTTACGTGTTCTTCTACCTTTCCTTGAACTGGCATTACTTGTGGTAGTATTAACAGCAGCTTCTGAAACACTCATAAGTTAGACATATTGCTGTAATTTTGAAGTCTAACCTCTTTACTTTTCATTGTCTGTGTTTACTGAACAGGCTGATGTTCAGTAAACTGATGGCAAATCATCTCCTTCTCTCAACTCTGCCTGTAATTCAGGGAGTGGCCTTCTCGCTCAGAGGTGACTGTGCCAAGATGGGAATGCCCCAGAATTCCTCCCATTCCTCTCATTCCTTTAACTGTAATGTCTGGACATGTCTTTAGCCTGAAATAAAAGAGCGAAGGATAGAAGTCGTGATATGATAAGAAGCAGTATAAATGTGTTCTGCATGCTTAATTTCAGTACTTTGGCCTTGAGTTTTATCTGCTAAAGATCTCTGATCACAGCCCCGATAGAACCCTGTGTGATCCAGAGGCTACAACTAACACAACAATAGAGAAAGAACGAGCAGCTGTGATAAAGGATAAAAGATAGAGCCCAGGGTTTGTCTAAACAGGCCCCCCAGACACCGCCCCACTGTGTCACAAGATTGATCCCACTGGGCACGCAGTCAAACTGCTCCTTATATCCATCTTTAGATAATCATAGCACAGTTGCCTCGGATCGCACCACAGCTCGATCTGAAAAGGAAAGTAGGCCAAAGGAGCCAGTCAGACAGGACTAGTCACTTGCAGCGTCCCTCGTGTGGATTAATAGATTTTATTCAGCGGTGTTAGCGAGGACAAGTAATGCTTAAGGACCGGATTTGTAATTGAGCTCAGTTTCATTCAGTGTTTTAATTATGATGGGGGAAGAATCAGGTCATGGATTGTGTGGTGGCATGGCACAATGGATTTTGATCTTTCTGTAGGTATAATTACTTATATAATTAAAATCCAGAGCTGAACAAATGAGTTCTTAAATAAGCATTAAGACCTTCAGTAACACCTCTGATAAGTCAGTTTTACCTCTGACCCGAGTAGCTCAAACTTGATACTAACGTCTGTGCTCTACGACCGACTTCAGATGAAGCTACTGTGGTTTGGGTGTGGTTTAATGCTTGGCTGACAGGCTGGCTTATCTCTCAGATGACTTACAGGAAGTGAATGTCCTTAAATAATTTCTTGGTTGTGTGTTTCATTCTTTGATCAGATGTTTAGGAATGGCACATGATGCAACATTTCGACCAGGCAAGCTGATGTCGTGGCCAAGTCGTGCTATTTGTGTGATGCTGGAACGTCTAGGGTGAAACCACAGAGTGCAGTTAAAGGTTTAAACTACTAGTTGTGATAAAGGTTATGGAGATTTTTTTTTCTAATACAATAATACCCACACCCCTTAACCACTGCTAGCAACATCACATAGAGATCTTAGGGCAAAATCAGCTACAGCACGCTATCACTAGATCTGGATTGGGTTGGACTAGCTATTTTTAAACCCATTACCAAGTTTATGCATAAAATCCCTGCTTACCTCTTAAAATCTA